GGCTTCGAGGCGGCCATGACGCGCTCACACCGCCGCCCGGGCAGGGCAAGGGAGGGGAGGGGGCACCGGACACGCGGGGCATGCCGGGACACCGCGGATCAACACATCACTTCCGGTGCGGCAGCGCCTCCCTCCGGCCCGGCGGTGCAACCGCAGCCGTCCGAGACCGCCCCGGGTCAGAGGAGGACACAGAGCCGCCTGACTCCGGGCTTTAATACCCCATCAGCCCGGGACTAAAAGGTCTGAGTCTGTCCTTAGGTCCTCGTTAATCTTGTGCAGGAGGGGGCTCTGGACCGCTAACACGCAGGACCGGTGAGGGTGCCCCGGGGCCGTGGGGCGTGCAAGGTACGGCCTCGCTCCGGGCTTAAGGACCTGATCAATCCGAGACTAAAAAGGTCGGAGTCTATCTTTAGGTCCAGGTTAATTTTGCACGTGAGGAGTTTCTGCACTGCTAACATGCAGGACTGATGCAAAGTTTCTACGACTTTGTACTGGAACATTTTGAAGCAAAATTAGACTTGTTATAAATGCCGTTTTTCTTTTTTTCTTTTTTTTTTTTTTTTGTTGTTTAGTTATTAATTGAATCTGTCATAAACATAAATAGGCAATACTGTAATTTTATGTATGTTGTATGTGTCTGTGCCTACTCAGCATCCACACCTGTAGGCAGAGGAAACTTAGGTTTCTGTCTCCACTTACTTCTCTGGAGCCCTTGGCTGAGGATGGAGATGAGTCATCTTTGATACATTTTGATACTCAAATAGCACTAATAATCTCATACCTAGACATTTCATTGTGGGCGGGAAGGAATTGGAAGGAATATGTGTGAAGACACATACTGCACTGAAGGAAAAAAGGACTGACAATAAAAACAACAGGAAGATTCCAAAACAAATACCTCAGTAGTCCAAGTAAAATTTGCCCTGCTGGACTATGAGTCAATATATCTTTGTGTCTGGTAGTAAAAAGCTTGAGCTGGGTCTCCCTTAAGTAATGGATTATTATTATTTATGTAAGCAGATTTTGCCAAAAGTGTGGGACAGCCTCTCCCACTTTTCCCTGTCACCTGTCTCAGCATGGCAGAAGCATTTCCTACTCCACATGACAGGCTGCAGTTCTGTCTCACGTGTCAGAGAAGAAGAAACTTGAACCATAAAATAGAAAATATTTATCAACAGGCTGATAGCTCCCGACTGGGACAGCCTGAATTACCCACGCGATGCTTCCTATCAGCTGGCACAGGCCTTCAGGTGTACCTTGCCTGTACACATAGGTAGCCTCAAGGATGTAAATCAAATTTAGGCTGTCAAAATATTGCCAGGAGTGTTCTTCCCCACCTGGAGAGTCAGCCTACACATCCTTTTTATTGCTTCAGGTGTCTTTACTGTCCTGTTTTGCAGGTATTCCTCTCACTCCTGTCCCTCTCTGCCTCTGCCAGGACAGCAGCCCGCTGTAGGTCCAGCGGGATCTCTGAGCTCTGACACCCAACATCTGTGGATATGCCATCCGGGCACCCAGGTCCTTGTCCTAATCATGGTCTTGTCTGCCCTGGACAAGGTAAAACTCAAGCACATAGGCCTCTACACCCAGTTGGTCCCTGCACCCCTGTTATTCAGAAGGAAGAGTCCTGCATCGGAGTATTGTACTTAAACCTCACACCTACACCCACATGAATGAAACTGGAGTTTTGTTACTACATCTGTATTGATGATCTGTATGGACCACTGATTCTTCATAATGCTAAATTGCCAGCAAGCTTCTTGGCATACTTTTGGCCAAGGCCAATAACATCTCCAGAGCAATGCCTAGAAGAACATCTAGCTACCCAGCACACACCAGGGACTTCTTCCAGTGCAGTCTTCCAACACTATCCCAACAGGCTCTGCACCCTCAAACCCTCCTCCTTGTCCTTCTGGTAATGTCCCAAGGTAGGTAAGACATATTCCAGTTTCATACTTTATAGACAACAATTTCATGGGCCACAACAGTTTTCATGTTATATCAGATATTTTGAAATAAAAAAGACACAAAAGTTACAACAAAGTGTTACAGCCACAGTGCAGTACATGCAGCCTTGAGGAGATCCACAGCACAAGCACCATGTAGGACAGTTGTGACCAGCCTAGACACTCAGGCTCAGAAAACAGTCCCCAGCCTATATGGCTTGCACAGAGGGCTGTCAAGGAGGAATCAGATGCATTTTTACTCTGTGTGCCTCCATGTGAGGCAGGGCCTCCCATAACCCTGGCAGGGCCAATGAAATGACTCTGGTGAAAAGCAGCTAATGCAAGTCCACACTGGCTGTCATAAACCAAAACCAAACAAGTAGTTTCTTCAGGGGGGGATTTCTTATACAAACCACGTTTCCTGAATACCTAAGGAAGAGCAGAGACCACAGAAGTCAAGGAGGGAGGGCAGCACAGGAAGAGTGGGCCATTTGCCCTCCCTCCCACAGAGCCAGTTAGGCCTCTGCAAGCAGCTGTGCCAGTTTCTGACCACCATCAATATGTCAATTCTGCATCTCAAAATCACAAGCCTAATTTGGGTTCATGTACACACCTCCCAGGCATGTAACTGTGGGCATTTCTCCATCGGTATTGACAGCTGGTGCACTCAACAGCAACATGCAGGGAGTAGCCAACACATTTCCCTTCCCACCAGCCCCCTGCGGCAGTGTCATATTGGACATTGCTGCAATGGAAAGGTTGAAAGAAACCTTGTTGAAGAGAGATGAGAAAGGATTGACTTTGTGTTTACACAGTGCCCAGGGCTGCAGTGGGGACAGGTTTTGGGGGATGGAGTGCAGAAAGACCTTTTGAAACCACATCTCTGCTTCGTCTTGTTGGCTGAACAGTGGGAGGCTGCTGGCTTGGTGGTGGCATTTGACCTTGCTTTTCCTTGTCGTGTTGGGAGACCCCCCCAAGTTTGGAGTGTCTGTACATGGAATATGAAGAGGATGATGATATTTCCTTTGCAAAATGGATGAGCAGCTTCTGGGGCCACAACTTGATGGATGAGAAAGAGGGTAGAGGCCACAAGAAACGTCAGACACGGCTCTTTAGTGAAAGGAGAGCCTCCCTTCCGGTAAGAGCTGTGTGCAGTTTCCTCTCTGTGCATGTGTGGCTTATGTATAAAGTTAAGTGTCACCCCCAGGGGCATTGCCCTAGAGATGTGTGAGGGCGAGTGGGGTACACCTTGCCAAGCAAGTTCAGTTCCAACTTGCAGCTGCTAGTTGTATTTTGAACTTGCCAGGGTCAGGCCTCCAGGCAAATTCCAAGTGACAATAGGACCAGAAATGTGAGGAGAAGGGTGGAATAATGGCATAGATATGTATTACAGTGTTGTTCTGGGCTCAACATGACCTGGAAGAGGTAGAAAACATTTTAGCAGCTGACATAAATAAACATTGTCTTTAATGAGACTGTTCTCATGTGTAAAACTATATAACCTCGTCCATGTTCATAGAGTTTGGCTCTAATTCTGCACCTATACTGTCTCCAGGAAGTTGTGTGCTTGCAGGTGTAACTTCTAATTTAAGCTGGAGGATGCAGCCCCTCCTGGTATAAAACATTTGACTCTGAAAATAACGATGCAACACATAGCAAAGCTAATTATACTGTGAAGTAAGATTTTTAAGATAGAAGTACATTCAATGTTCTTAAATGAACAAAATAGGAAAGGAGCAGGTTTCACACACAGAACCAGATTTTTAAGGCAGCACAACTGTCTAACCAATTATCAAAATAAATTTAAAACAGCTGTTCACAATCTGTCCTTTATTTGAAGACTGCTGCTTTTATTGCAGCTCTAAAAGAACATTTAGGTGGTCCAAATCTGTCTCTTTTTTCCACCTACATCAGCTGGCTTGCCAAAGATACTGTGTTTCCTTACAAACCATTTTTCACTTATATCCTTAGATCATTAAAGCCCTGAAAAAGCAAATGTTAATTATATTGGGGAGAAACAGCCAATCTTTTCCAAACATTTTTTTCTGTCATGCTATATTTTCACCTTGCCAGTTCTCTACTGGACCTGTCATATTCTAAGCTGTGGGATTTTTTGTTTTCAAAAAATTTAGCCAAGTAAAACCAAACAGACCAAACCCACCTCCTCCCTCCTTGTACTCAGGACAGGCTGGAGAGGTGACCTTCTTTCCTTAGTTTTGAACTGATTAGCCACATTTATTACTTACAGTTGTGTTTCACCTTGGTCACAGATTGCAAGGCAGACTCTGAGCTACAGTTTTGCTGATGGATTCCGTCAGAATGCTTGAAAACAGAACGCTTATTAATGGGGTTTTTAAATTAATTTTACTGTATTTTAATTTTGTCCTTCAGAGATCTATGCATCTGTGATTTCTTTAGGCCCCAATACAGGCCTAAGTGTAAGAATGTACTTTAAATCGCTCTCCATTCAGCAAGCTGCTGAACACATCTTTGTGTATATTTGTGAGTGTATTTGTGTATGTACCCATACAGTTCATTTGAAGCATGTTCTTGTATTCAGTTTGTTCAAAATCTATTTAAATGCTTAGCTAACAGCTATTAAAATACTTTGCTGTAGTTGCATCCCTGAATCTATACCTAGAACGTGGATTAAGTTAGCTGACAGACTGTGACTTTTGACATTACTGTTCAACGAACTAAAATTATTGTCTGGCTTTCACATTAATGCTCCACATAAATTTCTCCAGTTGTATTATACAAGAGAGAGAACTTTGAACTGCTTTATTTCTCAGTGACAGAAATTAACTGGAGAAACAAGAAGGAAAGATTTGCTGGGGGATTTTATGATTCGGGGATAAATTCTGAGATGAAACTTCTGTATTTGAAAATCTCTGACTAGTTGGTAGTAAAGAGCACCAAAACATGTTGTCTTAAACCAAATCTATATGTTAAACAAACGGGCACTAATAATTCCTTAGAAATACCTTCAGAAAGAGCATCTCCTTGTTGAGAGGAACAACTTGCTGTTGCACCCAGAGGTGTGGTTTTTTACACACCTGTTACAAATTATAACTAATCCAAGATTCAAAATGCTTCTCAGTGTTAGTGAAATATTGTCTTCATTTTATCAGAACAGCACTGTTAATCAGGAGGAATACTAACTGAGATTAGACTGCATCTCTTCTGCAGCAGATCACAGCATACCCTTTCTTCTGTCTCAGAGATGTAAATGGAGATAACTCCATTGTGTGGCTGAAAATCAAGTCAGCAGGTTCTGACTGACACAGCTGCTGGCAAAAGTTCCTTGTGCAGATACAATGGTGCTGCCAAAACAGCACGGCCGTCAGCTGTAGTGCAGTCCTGCCCATAGCAGCTGCACCTGCACCAGGACCCTTTTGATACGTCAGTATGGCACAAAAGGTGGTTCTGCATAACGCTGGAAATGGCTTTCAGCTCCTAACTGGTATGTTGGCCTTTGTAGTTTTTCCTGTTCTGTAGAAAGACATTCAGGCCACCACTCTCAACTCAAACACAATAGTAAAGTCCTGTGGCATCCTGTCATGGTAGAGCCCCTCAAAATATGGATAAAGTTTTGTAGAATAACTCCCAAACTAACAACAATTTTCATTTCACCCCCCCCCAATATCTTAGTATACGTCACAGACATTACCGAGAGGATCTCTGCAAAATGCTTTTGCTACTGTCAATCCCATTTGGCAGAGGGGAACACAAAATTATATTCATCTGTCACTGGGTCACTGGCAAGACAACCTAAAACTTACAACTCCACTCCCCTGGAAAATGTCAGAGTTGTGTATGTTGTTATGGGCCAACAGTGAATGTGAAAACTGCCTGAGAACAACTAAGTCATCCATTTCCATCTCCTTTAGTTAGCTTGTTCCCCTGGCAAACTTCAGACACATTAACTGTGAGACTCTTTTTGAAGCCTCCAGCTATGATATTCCTCGACACATTCTAGTTATCTTCCATCATTTTGGTTCAGGAGAGTTTCTTACTTCCCAGTCATTTTGTTGTGGGGAAAAGATAGGAGTCAAAGGAGCACTGCTAAGAGTTTTACAACCCTATAAATGTATCCATTTTCAAGTAGACAGTGCTGCTCACAGAAGAAAATCTGGTAAGAAACAGCTGAGAGTGAGAGCAGAACGGCTGCCAAAGTTACTAACAATTACTTTAAACTAACGTCAGGCTGAACATCTACCACAATATTGTTACTACAGATCAGTTGGAGCCTAGGCCAAAACTTTGAAGGAATATATACTTGGCTGTAAGCTTCTTGGAAGGTAAGGAAACTGTGGGACAGCATCTGAATGTCATATGTTCCAAAATATCCCTGAAGTACTCGGCTCATTGTGTAAACTTCAGCAAACAATGAACACTCCTGCTCACACATGGAAGATTAATTTTCTTACTGACAGCTGTGCAAGCCCTCAGATCAAGGCCAAAAGATGGAAGCAATTATCTTGTCTCCAACAGAAATTGAGAAAGAGAATAGGCAAATTGTATTGACAGCAATTTTGTGAAGTGTGTTTGTCTGTATACTTTTTGTGTGTTTTAGATGAGCAATTAGCAAAAGATTGTGTCAAAGATGCACTGAGCATGACTGGCCTTTACAGAAAGGCTCAAGCAGAAAAAGGGAGTATTCAAGGGAGTGAGAAACAACCCCTGAGACCATGCTTGGTGCTTCTGGCTTTCCCAGCCTTGGCAGAAATTCCCCATTTTGACAGAGGGGAGCATTTATCAATCCTCCTTCACATGCCTTGTCCCTTGTTTCACCTCCTCCCCACTTCTCCAGTGTAAGGACCACTCAAGGTCAGATCATAGGAGCCAGAGACCATGGGGAGTTCGCTAAAGAAGCACCAGATGTAGGCACGAGGCAGCAGCTGGAGCAAGGACAGGGGCAGATACCAGGGCTGTGTTCAGAGACCTTTGGGAGGGACAGCAGAGTGCAGATACAGAGGCAATCCCTGTTGCCAGCAGCTGCTGAGACTTCAAGGAGGGGAAGCATAAATTAAAGCAGTCTATGGCCTTTCTTATTTACAGTGTTACCAAGCAATCAGTTTGGCACCAAACGTGTATTAAATGCATGTATTAAATCAGGGAGGATTGAAACAGTAAGTATTAAACCAGGAGGAAAGCCCCATGGATTTTATCTGAAGTCAGCACCAGATCTGCTTAACTGCTGAACTTTAAGATTCTTTCAGTCCTCCACAGAGTCAGTCTTAAATAAAAGAAGACTAACATACTGTTCTAGTTATAAGCCATGAAATGTCCATGCTTGTCCTCTGGAGGGTTGTATCCACAGACAGCGACATGCTGACACACTTGCATATGTTGTCCTGGTGTCGGTGATGTGTGTCAGGCAAAGGCACTGTGAGAGGGGGCACAGTCACAGGAATATGATTGTGTAGATATGTATGTGTAGCTTTACCCTCAGCCCACCGAGGCAGATGTGATTTCAGAGGAAGGCCTGTCCTCTTTCTGGACTGTTGCTGCCATGTCAGTATGTGAAATGCAATCTTTTTGTTAAGGGCTTAACTACAATTCTATCTGTGCAGGGAAATTAAAAAGCAATGTCTTAGTAAAATAAACCATTCACAAACATTGCAAAACAGGACTGATAGAATGCCATCCCTCATTTCAGTTGTTCTTCTGTTTTATTTGCCCAAACCCTCTAAGAACAAATACCAGTGATGTTTTAGTGAGAATTTTTATTTCCAGGAAACAATACATGTTGTTTCTATTAAAATGACAAAGACAACATTTAGCTTATTGAGCTTGACATGGCACGAGTACTCCTGTCCCTCAAGCACAATGTGATTGCTCTGATGCTTTTTAAAATAACAATACAATATGACCTTAGAGAAATTACAGCTCTATTGATTGGATTGAAACCAAAAATAGTACAGCAGAAATCATTACCACGGCTCTCAGAGGCAGTCCATAACTCTAGCTACTGAAGTAAGCTTATGTCTGGAAAAGAAATTGAACCAGTATTGTATGATCTGAAAACCCTTCAGCATCAGGTGCTTCTGTCAGGTGTAAGATTTATTATTTTTAGCACCTCTCATCAAGCCACAACCACGTGGACGCACAGTCTCATTATTCCGAGGGACGCTGCCTAGGTCCCTGCTGGGCTGATACATTTATAGTAGCATCTGGGCCAGGATAAATGGGAACGTATAGAGGAGATGTTTCCCTTGCAACCCAAGGGTTGTCGATTCATGTGGCCACTATACCAAGTTGTTTGTTCTTTCCATTGTTGTTTGTTAAAAAAATCCAAAGCAAACACACACCTATCCCACTGCACCCCCAACAAACCCTGCTCTGAACGTAGGGTTTTCTCCTGGATTTTCTTAGAAAGCATTTCAGGATCTGTGGGAAAGACCTGCAATTACTACAAATAATCACAGCTCCATTGAAGCCAGCAGACCTTCTCTGGGTTACTCAGCCACTGAAGGCTTAGCACCAGGCTTACACAAACTGTGTACACATTCAAACAGGCAGAAGCGTGCCTGAAGTGCCCTCACCTGACACCTGGAGGTCTCATTTTTAGTACCTCCCATCTCTCTCACAATTTTCTCTACCTCCATCTTATCAATGGTCAGTTATTCACACTGAAAAACATCAACAGCTGGTGGGGTTTGGGCCATGCCCAGCTCTGCATGGTGGTCACCCATCTCTTCTAGAGGTCTGTTTCTGAAATCACCAACAGGTGACCCCATGGACACAGCAGTTCTGTATCAGTTTAATCTCCTTTACAGACATTCAGTTGAACAAAGCTGATGCAGATCAATAGCTTTTATCTGCAGGTCAGGCCTGGGAAAATTGAACCACATGGAAACTAAACAACTATCTACTCCCTCCCCACTTCAGCCCTACAAATGTGACTGTAGGAAGCCTGTTTCTTACCATTTCTCTGATAAGGATGTGTCCCACAGTGCCCTGAAAGTGCTCCCTCACCAGTTCAGGACAGACATGCCTAAGAAACAGGCAGGAAATTCAGACCTAGACAATATAGCATCTTGTCTGCAAGTAGGCCATGCTGAAGGTTTGAAACAGCAGGGCTATAAATGGTCGCTGTCACACTCAAATGAACTCAAACACCTGATAAGATCTGGAGCACCTGTGGGGCACACCCCATATCTGGCTCATTGGGCCACAAAAGGCTGGATCTTTGATTTTTGAGAGTCCTGCCTTGAACCCACTGCCAGATGTGTGCTATGAGTTTTGGAGGTTCTGAAGGGTCCCAGTTTCTTTTAATGTCAGCAGGCAGTAAGAGGGCCCAGCACACTTTACATTCAAAATGCTCATTTGAGTGCTAAAATTTAGATACTCAAAGCCAGGAATAAAAGCAAATTCCGCTGCTGCCTCTGGAGAGCAAGCTCTTGGCAGTGTCATTCTCCTCCACATAAAAGGAAGGATGCAGGAGTGTGAGCAAGGGCCTTTGTGCTGTACTTCTGTTCAGAGAGAGCTCTGCAGGAGAAAGAATCTGACCTGTGTTCTCTGCTTTCATATTCAATACTCAAAAAAGACCTCTTGCTTTTCAGGCCAGCCTTTCCTCCCTCCATACAACTCGACTTCATGCTTCTACCAAAGGGTCATCTTCAGGCCATCTCAAGGGCTCCAAGGAATTTCAAGAAGACCAAGATGTCAAATGCCACAGGAAGGCAACCAGAACACCTTCAGCAGAGAGCCCAGAGACAGGATCCAACCCCATCCAGGAGTTTGCAGAGTCCTTTGAAAAGAAATTGCATCTCAAAAACAAACGCTCAGTTTCTTTGGTAGGTAACAACAAACTTAAAATCACTTCAGAAGAAAGAAACCCAAACTACCCAACAAGCAGGCCAGCTTTATCCCTGGTGTGATTGCTGTGGCTTTGCCGGGGGAAGAGCACAAATAAATTTTCACTTGAACTTCTCAAATTACGCAGTCCTTACAGTAGTGCAAACAAGGTTAAAGGTTAAAGTAGTAGCATTAGTATGAGAATTCTTGATGTTGTGTTACCATCTAGACTTATTAAAAAATGTTTATCTTCAAAATGAGACACCACACTGGCTGTGGCAATGTTTTCAGAGGTTCCTAAAGCTGTGCCATCAAAACATGATAACATTAAAACCAGTTTTGCTTCACTTCTGCTGTAACACCCAGCTCTTTTCCTCACTGCTGCTGACCTGGTTTAATCATACACACTGTTATCTGTAAGACTGGCAGACACGTGTTTGAGAGGCTTCTCCTTTAGCCCTTGGGACTCCATCCGTCTGCTTTCCTCCATGTCACCATGCAGCCTCAGCCATTGCTTTAAGAGGCTCCACGTATTTTCACTGTAAGGGTGTGCAGCCAGCAAGGGGATTTTCCCCTCATTTAATCCTTTTCTTCCCCCATCATTGTGTCCTGAGGCATTTTCTGTATGGTTTGTGTTGATGAAATAGCCAATAACAACCTTTTTTCTATGACACTTGAACACATTTATTTTATGATGATACATGATCTCTGGTGGAAGAAAGCGTAATAAGCCCTAATTCACTTTGAAGCATCAGAAGAACACTATCAAATTCAGTCACACTATTGAAAAATCTGTGCCTGAGTAATACTTGATGTTAGTACCAAATAACAACAGAAGGAAGTATCTTTCTTTTTTCAGTTGGTTGACAATGACAGACTGTATGGAGAAGCAATTCTCAGATCTCCTTGCAGACCTTCTGTGCAGCAACAAGAAAGAAAAAAAATCTCTTTTCAATAACCAGCATCATTATATGATCAGTCCCACTATTATAGTCCTTGCATGGTCAGTCATCTAAGAATATGCAGAATTATGGTGATGACAACTCTGTTATGCCACTGCTAAGATTTTAAGTGCATTCTCTAATCTTCTTTTTCCCCTTTAGGAACTACTCAGAGTTTATTTCCTTTGGAACTTCACATTGGCTCATGTGCCAACCCTCACCAGTGCTTGTCTGGTTTATCATTTATCAGTTCTCAAAAGTGGCTACGGCTAGAAAGTCTGTGAGTCTGTAATCATTGTACGATAGGTATAGTGAGCATAGTGCACTAAATACAGCTTCAGTTCCACTTCAAAACATCCATTCTGGTACCTTTACGGAACCCACAGTGAGGTGTGCTGGGCTGTATGTTAATTCACCTTTCACGCAGACCGGATTGTTGTCATTCTTTCAGTCACTATTGAAGTCTGGGATGACATGAAGGACTTGAGAATCTTGAAGAACCAAGCAATAGGTGTTAGAGATCTGAAAGGAAATTTGAGAGTGGGCTTAAATTTGTATCTCCAGATGGAGCAGGGATTTTTTTGCTTTCAGAGCTCTGTGAGTTCAATTCAAACCACCATGACCACACAGGTTAAACGAAAAGTGGGGGGAAGGTAATCCCATTTCATCTCCTTCCCTGCATATTGCTTTTGTTTTATAAACGTGGCTTTGAGGACACTTCATGACCTTCAGCACATGTTTTCAGTGAGGTCTCTGCAGCTAGCACTGACCAGCCTTTGGGCACACAAAGATGTAAAAGAACAGAAACATGGAGTCTGGGCTGAAATCTCAGGCGCCCTCCCTTTTCCCTCCTGTCTGTTCCCTCCCTCAAGTCCTCCAGGGAGGTGACCCTCCTGCCATACACAGAGAAATATCAAAAGCATGTTGCCTCTTGCTGAGTTTTAGGGTGACTGACTGAGGCTTTGAATTTAAGCCCATCATATTAAAGATGATCTTGCTGAGGTAGGTTACTGGAATATTTTATTATACATTACTAGTGAAATAAAACAATGAGAGGGTTTTTTTTGTTCATGTGGGAGTTGCTTTTAATTCTCTGCTGTTTTTTTCCTGCCTTTTAGCAGCCTGAAGGCATGAAGGAGAGAAGGGAAAGAGAAACATTGCATTTGAGAAAAAGCAAGGCTCACAAGAGAGTGGAAGGGAAATCAGAGCCAAGGAGAGAGCAAGAAGAAGATGAAGGTTCAGAAGTGGTACCTGCAAAACACAACAAACAATTTCCATCACAAGCAAGCATTGAGAAAGGATGTTTATGCACAGGCAGCTAGAATGCATTGAGATAACGAATCCTAACACTCCCCCTGGAGAGCAGAGGGAGCATTCTTGTTTTGTTTTAACTAGAAGAGGCCTGTTAGGCAGAATAAACCCTAACCTGTAAACTAAAAGTAAAATTCAACTGCGTCTTTGATGTTACTACCTTCCTGTCTTTAGTTTTGCTGATAGGAATGTGACCCTTGTCATAGGAGCGCATCTGTAGCAAGATCCAAGTAAGTGATTAACCACTGTAAGAGGGTTTCAGGCAGATTTAGTATTGTGGCAGGACACTGGTGGATGTGTTCGTTTAAGAGGAGAGCATGTATGTATTACAGAGCTGTGCAGAGTCAGCCAAAACCTGTGTCTCTGTTTCAATTGAAAATGGCCTTACTGGTAGGCTTGGGAAGGAAAAACCTACACATGGGAAGGAAAAACCTACAGATGACCACCCACTTCCTAGTCCTGACATTCACTTAGATTTGCCCTGGAAGCAGGTACCTTTTTACTTCGACAATCTCCTGACTGCAATTCACGGAGGTGATAGAGGGAGGCCCACAAGTTCTCTTCTACACCTCCCTGATGGCTCACTTGTCTCTGCTTTCCCTACCACTGTGCAATATGACTCTTGTTTCTCTGGCATCCCCCAGCCCTCTCACATGTCCTCAGTCCCATTTACCCAGTTACACAGCTAGTTCTTTCTTCCAACTTTAACCTCATCGCCTTGCTTCTTTTGTGGCTTTCCCCCTCTCCACTTAGTACTTTATAGCCCTGCCTTATAGCTACAAACTACATCTCTAGTTTTGCCTCATCAAAATTTGAGCCTTGCGGAAAGCTCTCTAGTACAGAGATGTTCTGCCTCTCATACTTGTATCTAATGTCTCCAAGGGGTTGCCAGACATTCAAGGTGAGGCATAGCAATCTCTTCCATTTTTCTAGAACTAGGGCCAAACCAAAATATGGACAGAGGAAAGGAAAACTCCATCTAGGAAAGCTCTGTTTCCTCTGGCTGAAGATGTTCTGAACTCAGGTGTAAGTCTCACCAACTGTAAGTAAGTATCCCTCCTATGCAGAAGAAATCCACCTCCGCATGCTCATAAACACACACGCACACACACACACACACACACACACACACACACACACACAATCCCTCCATGCCTCTCTTCTTCAGCATGTAAGTCTTCCCTGCAGAGAAGAACCCCTCCCTCTGTGGGAATAATTTCCCCAGGCCTAGCTCAGAGAAAGGCTGCTTTGTATAGTACACTTAGAGAAGAGCGAAGACTAAAGATGTCATGAGCAAAAGTCAAAGTCTGGGTATTATTCCTGTGGTTTTCTGTAACTAACATAGATCTTAATATTTTACTTTAGAGCCTTAATTCTGAATGTTCAACCTTTTAAAAGCTTAGGGCATCCTTTGTAACACTTATCTCCATTAAAGGATGGTTTGTCTTGTAGGGCTTTGGGGGATATCTAAGAGAGCAACTAAAACCTTGCTGATGCTTGTAAATTGCTTCTTGCCTGATAACATGTATTATAAACTAATAAATCTGACTGAAAAATGTTGTTCCTATGCACAGTTCCTGTCCTCCCCAATCCAGATTGAATTGTCATGAAGTTCCATGCAGATGGCTTTGCTTTTATAGCCTTAATTTGAGACTGCATTACAATAGACCTGGATACAAAGGAACATGGCCAGCTAGTCCTGAGTTCCTCAGATAAAACCTCTCACATACGTCCTTTCAGGCAGCAGCAGGCCCTCACATCTTGTGAGGGCTGAATGAATCCAGGCTGCACGAACTTTGCCTGGATTTCAGAGCACCAGCCTCTTCCCCCTGTTTTCCACCCAGGTTAACTCAACAGGCACAGCTGTATCCCAGCAGAATTGGCAAAAACCTTGTGTGCTGGTTGTACACCACACATGGTGAAAAGAAAACGTCGAAATGAGCTAAAACAGAAACCCCATGTGTGTCTGGCTTCGACTTGTGCTTACCTTCGCCATCAAGGCGCAGGCAAGCCTCAGTGCCAGTGAGGCAGCCTAGCAGTCAGCCTGCAGACAGCTCCCTTTGTCACTGAGCCCCACCTCGCCCGTGGCACAGTCTGTAAGTGTTTGTGTCCTTGCCCATGGCACAGCCTGTAGGTGTTTTGTGTCCTTCCTGAACTGGCCCTCAGCCCCGTCGCCTGACTGCAAGCGCAAGCTTTCAAATAATGTCCTCAACGCTGTCCTCCTAAAATCACTAAAAAATGCTTACTCAAAAGTGTTTTCTCTTGCTTTGTATCATGCCTGATGGGACCAACAACCCTTTCCAGTTTGGTCCCATGTCGTCTGATACAACAGTATTGCTTAGGAACACTGAAACTCACACGAGAGCAAGAATCACAAATGATGAACAGTTTGGGTCAGAAGGGACTTCAAACATCATCTAGTTCCAACCCACCTGCCATGGGCAGGACGCCTTCTACTTTCCATATAGATTAGCAATGATTCCATAACAAAACAGGTATTTGGGAAGGAAGATAATAATCCAAAGAGGAATCTGATTACAATAGCATGGCTGATACTGCTATTTCCAAAGAAAGTGTAATTGGGATACACAAGTAGTCAGAAAGACTCCAGGCGGTTTTCATTTTCACAGTGGGTCACTAGTTCAGTCATGACTGACATAAAAAATAGTCACTGCCTTGATTCCTATCCCCAGTTCCCAGAGCAGCTAGGCTGGCTGTGGGTGTTTTCAGCAGACATGCCCATTCTGAGGCAAACACTGTTTTGCTCTTTCTGCTTTTTCCAAGAGTTGGTGGGCTGCAAGTTGCAACAGAGTCCAAACCTTGGACACGAAGGAGGTCAGTTAGCAGGAAGCAAAGACAAAGGGACCAAAAAGCATGTTTTCCAAAATGCTTATTAATAGGTAATGTTGGAAACCTGAAACAGTTTTCCAACAGAGAGGAAGGAGCAGGCTGCAGGAGCAGGCTGACACTGCGGGCTGGCTGTCGAAAGCTGGCGAGACTCAGAGGCCCATGGGGGATGTTTTAGACTTGCTGTGGCTCATGGTGGGAGACCATGCTCCAGTAAAATGCTGTGGATCCTTCCCAGCACCTCAGGCTACCTAGAAAGTGCTCCCATGGGAAGTTAGGGCATGGGCACAGACGAGCATTTCAGGAGCAAGGTCCAGTCATACCCCAGAGCTTTCTGAGAGGTCTAAGAAGAGAACATCAAGTGTGGTTACCCCATCTTTTTCAGATGGGCATTCCCAAAGCAAAATATTTATGTTTGTGTGGTTTTGATGTATTTGTTAATTGCAGCATTGTTTTGAGGTTGGATTAAATTTTGGATAATTGTTAACACATCACATGTTAGTATATAAAATGCAAGACCCCACATAGGCTAAATGAAGCAATAGCTATATCTATGTACGTGCTCACAACAATCCTTTCTAGGAAAAAAAGATATTTCAATGCATAGATAAAACAAAACAAGCACGATGTATAACTGAATAAGAATATAACATCCATTAAAAAAGAAACCTAATATTAAATATGAAAAAAAAAAGAAAACATTCTTATATACTTCTTTGTTCTTTAGCACAAAAGAAGGCATCTGGGTAAGCACAGCCCTGGCTCTGAATGCATTCAGTGTATGTATGAATAGTAAAAAACCACATAGAGATATAATCAAACCTGATAATCAAAATTATTCACAGAGAAATGAATCATAATCATGAGATCGTGAGTTTATACAGCCATCTGCCAAAACCACTGAAAACAAACAGGTCTTGAAATATATCCAGAAGGACAGTGCAGCCAAAATCTAGTCATTCTAACAGAGAAGTGAATACTGAAACCCAACAAATTTCATAGATAATGCCCTGCCTGCAGTTGATGTGCCAGAGCTTTAGGTAACCATGTATGAACAAATGCTAAAATAAACCCACTCATCATAGCAAACATTGCTTGTAGGGTGTTGATTTTAGTTTACTCTGGTTTGGATTGGATTGACAGATGATATTCCTCTTGTTAGGAGGATCCCTCTGAATCCTAGCCCAGTCTCTAGTGTACTTTGGGAGAAAATAACTTCTCTCAGCTGTGTCTTGTCTCTGAGGCCAGACAGAAAATAAGAGAAATAAGTGATACAAGGAGCATCAAAACCTAATATTCTGTCATATTTGATGGATTCATATCCTTCTATGTCTGTCAAATTTCTAAACTGATTGATAGAGGTTTGTTGATTGAGAAGACCCACCAAAGCTTGTGGCAGTTTTATATGACTTTTCATCAAAAAGCTGATGGACTCCTCAGCCTGGTGAATTAGTGCTACTCCTGATACTGAAGTATCAAAAAGGAGCTCTCTTTTTGCTCCAAAGCTTGAACAGGACTCATGGACACCCTTCCTCTGGGCTTCCCTGCAAACACATCCCATTACATGAGGTGGATGCTGAAGTTTTGGTCCTTTGGAAAGCAGCCCTTGCTGGAACTTTATGCAATGGATCTCAGCTGATACTCTGCTCTTCCTGTATGCACAAAATGCATCTTCAGTGTCTCTCATAAGCATTTTAAATCTAGTAGGTCTGCTTCCTGAGGACTCCTGTATCACTGATTCAGTAAATGTTTTGGACCAGGGTTCTTTGTTTCTTAAGGGACTATATCAGCTACACCTCTCAAAATTCCTTGAAAATAACAGGAATGTCTGTTATTTCCTGAACAGTGTATTCAAAAGTGGCTGCTAAAGTAACCAACCTGACTAACATGCTGTGTCCAGGTGCTTCTGCAAAGTCAGTGGCAGATTCTTATCATCCATGATGAAGAAGTCAAGAAGAGAGTGTCCCTTAGAATCTCAGAGGGGAAATATTCAAGCCTTGATTCCAGTTACAAAAGAAGAAAGAAAACAAAATTTTACTCAGTGGATTAATGCATTACAAGGTTAATGTAAGTGTTGTAGCTTTTTATGAAGTTCAGAGACAAACTTTGAAGACAAAAACTAACTCCTAACTCCTCTGCCTGTGTGTGTCATAGAAACCTGATAGTGTTTAGGGAAGAGGCCAAAGTACTTTTACAATTCTATGAACAGTGTAAATAAAAATTACACATTTGCTGCAAAATACACTGTTTGCAAGTTATTTGACTTAAGGTCATTAAATGGCTGGGTAACATATGTAGCCACTTTCCAGCAGAGGGAGTCTGTTGGTACAGAGCACAAGTTTGAGATTAAAACTAACTACAATGACAGTAGGGGACAACAGCAAAAAAAAACCAAACAAAAAAACCCCCAAGAGCACAGGACTGTATGGTCAGATTTTGCCCTCTGTTGTTCATCTATGACTTTTGTTGATATGAAGGAAATCAATACACACAGCCCATGGCCGAGTTTAGCCTGGTATGAGGGACTGCAATATTTACCTCATGGTCAGCAGAAGACCTTGATCTGCCCCTGGAGATCCCATATTGCTGAATCACTAGCTGGCAGCTCATTGCTGCAGGTGTTCCCCAAAGAGTCCTCCTCTGCCCTCCATTTCCAGGACACAGCCCACGCTCCCCTCCTTCAACTGGTCGGAGAGGTGCTGGTGTAGCTCTGGGTGCCCCACCCAGAGGCACTGGATGCCCAGCAGCCCCTGCAGGGGCACGGGGGTCCCCACGGCTGTGGCCTTCCTTGGGGCCAAGGGGTGGCCAAAGCCAGGACAGCTCACGAGTTCCTGCCCAGGGACCTGCTCCTCCTGTACACCTGCCTGAGCAGTCCCAGGGCTCCGCAGCTTCCACCCCGCACCCACAAACCAAGGTGGCTTCTCTGCCTTCACTCCTCTGGAGCATCCCTCAGATACTCTCCCGTAGCTGGTGAGCGGGTCTGTAGGCCAAAATGTCCTTATAGTCACTATGGGCTCTGCTGCTCCCAATGCACAATCCTGCTCTCTGTATTTTCAATGTTGAATACAAGAAAGCTTTTGGGAAGCTCCCCCCTAATCTTTACTATAGGGAAGAGAATATAATTCTTGCCCCAGGTTTATTCTGACAGAATAATTATATGTGATGCCAGAATTTTCTCAGTGAGAAAAAGCAACAGCATTTTTTTCTGAGAAGCAGCACATGCTATTCTATAAATGTAAGCATGGAAAGATTAAT